TTCCATTATTGGTCGGTTTAGGTAGGTTTTTTTAGTTTGTTGTATGTTTGTTGGAGTTGCAAATTGAGTTTAATGTGGTATTTTTGACTTGAAATGGACTTGGAGCAAGGGGAGCAAATATTTTGCCATTTTTTACAGGTTCCAATAAAGTGATCTCTCTCATTCTACAATTTTTTGTTTCCTTATTTGATTGAGTGCAAATTTCAAGTATGCACCTTGCTTTCACATAACCTAAGAAAACGCCTAGACAACATCTTCCCTAAGTAGGAAGTGTCCAAAATGGTGTTTCCTCCAAAACTTGTTTTCAGTATAAAAACCATTGCAATTGATCAATCAACCAAATAGGATTTTAGTGGAAATGCCTATGTGGCCACAACTCTACAATGCCTACGCAACACCATGATATGAAACACCACATTTATTAGGCATTTTTTTTGTGGTGAATTATTTACACTACACTCCTCAACTTAATATTGGTCGATCACAATACTCTAAAAGGATGTTTGATGGTATGATTGGTTTTGTTTTTGAAAAAAAACACAATAACCACATCAACAGAAATAATTTAATTTGTTGACATGGAAATACTATGTTTTTGAAATTAAAACAAAATCATGTTGTCAAATACAACATCCCCTACATCATCTCCATATATATATGAGTCCCACATGTCAAGTTGGCAAGGAATATGAAGAATTCAATATTAGTATAGCCTAGTATCATATCCCCACTAATGGTGTTCTATAAAAGATGTTAGGAAATTTTTTTAGTATTTTTAATTAAGAAATTACAAAAATGTTGACTATTTATAGTTGGTCTTCAACCGGAAGAAAGTGTTCTTCTTATTTATCATAAATGGTTCCCAATGTTTACGGTTGCAATCCGAATTGGAAAAAAGTTGGTTATAGTCCTAAATAGTGGTTTTTGATGCTAACCTTCTTTGGTGGTTATGCGTTCTTTGGTTCACAGCTTTGATCTGCCATTGGATCCAGAATGAGGCAAGGAAAGGGAGGAGAGGGAGATGAATGAAAAATGGACAGGGAAAAGAATGTATCCCATGTCCTCCCCCCCCTGAGGTCAGTTTCAGTCAGTGCAAGACTCATTTGAATCCTATTTGAACATCCTTTACAACCTTATATTGGGAATATCTCTCTACTTATATACTTTATTTCATTTTCATGGGGAGATATTCCTAATGCAATGCTATAAAGGCTGTTCGAATGGGCCTTGCACTGATTGAATCCCCTCCCCCCCCCCAAAAAAAAAAAAAAAAAAAACATGTTTTGTTGATTTGGTCCTAATGTATGGGATGTCATACCATCATGTTGTGCACTAAGGGAAGGAATTGTTGCACAATTGGAAAGAGCAACCAACTAACCAAGGTGGGAAATTTTTAAATCAACTTTATCATCAGCAAAAAGTTGAAATATATATGTTCGTGAACTTTTTTTTATCTTATTTTGAGAAGGCAAACAAAATACATGTTTTGTTTCAAGAAACCATCAAAATAATCCACTTTTTTTTTATTTTTAAGCCACAAATACAATGGTTTCTAATTCAAAAATAAATTTTGGATTACAGATATTGTAAATCATGATATCAACCACCGGGGCGAAGACATTGTTCTTTGAACCATAAACTGGTTAAGAATTTTTTTTTTCAATTTTGAAACCAAAAAACACATGCATAACACAATATCATGATTTCTATGTTTCTTTCTATTTTTAGAAACCAATTTGTTGTCAAAACATTTGGTTTTGATATGTTTTTGGAATTCGTAAGAGAAAAAAAAAAAAAAAAGAAATCATGTTGAAGATTTTTCAAAACACCTTTAGTAGGCCTAGACTCAGTCTAGTCAATTCTTGTCTTTGGGCTACTTTATCGCTATATATCCAATTTGATGTCTTTCACCCCCCCTCAGTCGTAAAACACAACACGATTTGGCTCCTTTCTTCCCTATAAGCAATTTTTGAGTAGTGAAGTATTAGTAGTACCATCATTTATGTATTGTTTATATCATATTGATAATCAAATTCTAAGAGAAAATGAATCATTTGCTTCTAGTCCACTCTAAATGACATACTTAACTCAAATCAAATCAGACCACCTCGATTGCTCTCATGCAGTAGAGAAAGTAAATGCTTTGCACACCCAAGCATTAGAGTATCAACCTTTGCACTTTTAATACCCATTGTCATGGGCATTGTCATAGATAGGAGTTTGTAACCCAATAGATGTGGGTCAATTTGAGTTGGGGCTTGGCATATATTAGCCCCAACTCAAAAATCGATTAAGACTATTGTAGACTTGATGCATGTACAACAATTGATTGGGTCAAGACAAATAGGTTTGTCACTTAACTTGATCCACTAATTTCTCTTCTCTTCCAACTAAGGATTAAAGCATTGGTATCAGGTATTGTATTGGACAACTTAGATTTGGATTCATATACGCTTTGGAAATGCATGGATACGGATGAAAACATGGAAACATTTGGATATGTTAAGAAAATGCAAACAAATTCCATAAATATATTAATACCACTAAATTTAATGTCAAAATAATTACAAATAGTGTATAAATACATTGGAAATGTATATTTTGTGTTATATATGAAGATACATTATAATTATTATACTAGGATGCATAGATATCATACAATTTTATTGATATATAATACATTAATCAAGAGCCCAAGAAATATATTATATAGATTTTTACAAATTAATACATACACAATCATTATTATTATTTTATTTTTTATTAAAGTCAAAGGCAAAAAAAAACATATGCAATTGTTATATTTGAATTATTACATTAATTATTTTATGTTTATTTTTTATTTTTAACTTTAACAAAAAAGGTCAACCAAAAGCTTAATTCTCAAATGTTTGGTAACTAATATTTTTTTTTTTAAACAATAAATATGTTATTATAAAATGTAAATTAGAATATCAATTAATAATTTACAAACATATATAATCTTAAAATATACTAAATCTATTAAAACTTTGAAGATACATAACATATGTAAATTCATAATTTTTAATTACTAAAATAATTGTTCCATTATTAATATTTTTATTATTTTTTTTAATTATCATTTTTTATATAAATGTAGATTTGTTTATATTTACATTCTCAAATAATTTGTAAATAATAGATACATTTTTATTTAATATCAATTAAAATATCCATTAATAATTTATAAAAATTTTAAGATACATATTATGTGCAAATTTATAAATTTTTAGTACTAAAATAATTATTTTATTATTAATATTTTATTTGTATAAATTTCTTGAGGTTACAAATCATTTTTTTGATATAAATTTGGATATGATAGATTATTTGTTCTATTAGTTTATAAAATATTAATCCTAAGTATTATTATTTTTAATTTATAGTTGGAGAGATTGAATAAAATATATGTTATTTTTTTAAATTGGTTGTGGATGTTAAATTATTATCATAAAATGACTATTGGTTTAGTGGTTAATGGCTTGTTTAATTATTGGTTGTGGGTGTCTTGGGTTCTAATCACACCACGCTATAATCTTTATAGCCAATTTAACTATAGGCCCTCGATACACCTCCATATCGCTAAGTATTGGACCATATCAGTTGATATACTATATAYAGCGATACGGTGGTGTATTGGGCCAATACGAATGATTGGAAGGATACACTTACAGTTAAATGGGCTATGTTGGGTCTGTAGGTCGTGCCTCCCTCCCCTTGGATATTTTGGGGGGTCAACCCGGCATGGCCCGCAGCCTGAGCCCATGCGGACCCATATTGTGCCGTGCCATGAGCCAGGTTGGTCTGTGTGTCAAGCTAAAGCTATTTATTTAAAAAAATTGAAAARAAACTTAAAATATATTATATTTATTATTAAACAATTATAATTTATATAATATATATTATATATAAATATATTAATATATTATATATATAAATATATAAAATATTTAAATACATATGGGCCATGCTAGCCCATGGGCCATGGGCGACACTGTTGGGCCATGCCGGCCTGGCCTGTGGACTTGAAACCCCAAGCTTGGCAAGGCCCATACAATCGTGCCAGGCCGTGGACGACACGACCTGATTTACACAGTATATAAACCTAACAGGTTAAACAAAAAACCAGTGGAATCGGTCTCGATTTTAAAAAATTGGCCGATTTTTTATAAACATAAATGTAAATTTCTAGAGACTATAATTTTGCACTGGAATATCTAATTGGAGTGATGGATAATTTTTTGAGATTACGTGTTCCCAATTCCACTATTTTTACTAAAAAATACTTTTTTTGGCCTTAAATGTTAAAAATAGAAATATATATTATAAAAAATATAATTATATATTATAAAAAATATAATTATATATTATAAAAAATATAATTATATATTATAAAATATTATAAATATATATATATATATATATATATATATATATACATACATATAAACAAACCAACTGAGGTAAAATTCCAGATTTTTTTAAAATTTTGACAGCTGATCCAAACTTCTTACCAAGAAAAAATGAGAATATAACGCTTACGCTGACGATTATTTATGAGTTATCCAGCGAGAAAATGACACCGTATAAGCACAATATCTTTGATCCGAGTTGCATATATGCCCCGATAACGACGCTTCATTGGAAAATGGTCCCACTCGGGAGATCTGGTCGGTCGAAAATATTCAATTTAATCTAATCTTTCACGGACCCTTTTTGTGGAATCAAATCAGATACCACAAATCAACTTGATTAGGTTGACTTTGTGCCGAAGACATTTTTCTCCATGCCTTGAGGTTGGGCTGGATTGGAGAGCGGACTGACACCGGAGCGGACCCACTAAATGCCGGTCTTAATCCCCAAAGGATACTACACGCATCAGGTCAGGCTGTGCCAACAGGAATTTTCCCTTTTTGACCTTTTCTTTTCGCCTTTCTAAAAGAGGAGTTGGGATCTGCTTCCAGCAGCAACTGCCTGCTGCCTATAAAACGCTCTTAATACTGTCCCAATAACCCAACCGTACGTTGGGATCATCTCCCTCCCTTCTCATTCATGGAAGATGTTCCCATGCTGGAGCGTGTCTGTGGGTGGTAGATTGCGTTGGAACGTTATTTTGTTGGTAGCGAATCTAAAGGTGGTACGGTAAGAGCTATCGGGCAGAGAGAACGAAAAACCGCTACCGGTTACTGCTGCCGGAAAACTGCTACCGGTTATACGTGTGGTGTATTGTCTTTCTTCTTCTCAAATTTACTCCTCTCCCCATTAAACTCTCAATATCGTCTTTGTTGAGACAGAGCGCGCGCTGCGCATGCGCATATCCGACAGTCAAAACCTCAAAAAAATAGAGAGGATCGAAGCATAAAAGCAAAGCAAAGCGAAAGAAGAAGGGATAAAGAAGAAGCGGAGCAGAGTCGCGTCGATAGACCGTCGAATCTTGGAATATGGTTATTGTTATTTAAATAACTGTTCTAGTTACAGTTTCTTACCATCAAGTATTGCGTGCTTCGTACGGTCTATCAACGCGCTCTGCAACAATCACCACCACAGCATCAACGACCGAAAAACAGAAAAAGTGATCGCAGCAATCCATCCACTAAACCCTAGTGTGTCCACCAGTTCGTTCTCTTACCCATTTATATCTTTTACTTTCTAGTTATTAAATCACTGTAAGTTAAAGCTCCATCCCTCCTATCTCTCTGTCGATCATCTTCTTCCTAATTTGTTCATCGCTCGTTTCTTTACTCTCTCTCTCTCTCTCTCTTGTAATTTTCATTTTCTTATCGATTCTTCTTTTTGACGACTCTTCTTTGACTAGTAAATTAATGGAGGAAGCTAGGGTTTTTGAGAGCATTGGCGGCCAAGGGACTAGGTCCCCGGACAATGTTAAGTCTTCTTACTGGCTTGATGCTTGTGAGGATATGCCATGTGACCTTATCAGTGACTTCGTTGATTTTGATTCGGTTGCCCCCGAAGCAGTCGACGATTCTTCTTTGAGCCAGGGTGCTGATGCCTGTTTCTTTGGGGGAATCGATAAGATTCTTGATAGCATAAAAAATGGTTGTGGTTTACAGCCTCCTGTTTGCGACCCGATCGCAACTGGTCAAGGAGTTAATGATAGTTTTGTCGGAGAAGTTCGACCAGAGAACGTAGTGTATGGGGACTCCAAAATGCGAGTAGAGGAGTCCTTCAATGCCACGGTTGAAGAGGATAGTCCTTTAAGAAGAGCACGGCGGATTGAGTGTAATCGAAGTAGTACTGACGCTAATAGGCGTTGCGGATCTCACAGTTCCACTAAGCGTTTTGATGGTTCAGAACATTGGGAGGAAACGTACTCAAAGGACGATGGGGTTCAAAGGCGTGAAAGTAGGGATAGCGAGGTTAGGAAAGAGAATGGATTCCGAAGGCATGAAGAAAATCGAGATGGTGAGGCTAGGAGAGACAATGGCGTGCGAAGGCATGGTGGTCGGGATAGTGAGGTCAGGAGAGACAATGGCGTGCTAAGGCATGGAAGTCGGGATAGCGAGACTGTTAGTAGAGATGGAGGCGTTGACAATTCAGAAAGATGCAACAAATGGCTTCGTCTTAACTACTGTAGTGAGGGGAGGGATTATTCAGTCAGCCGCCATGATCTCCCAAGGGAGCGTTCAAGCAGGAAGAGGCTCCGAGATCGTGAAGAGATTGAAAGGCGTGATAGGGATCGGGGCAGTAAAAGGGAGCGCTACTGTAGTGATAAGAGAGACTTTAGGGATCGGGATTGGAGGGAGAGAGAAAGAAGAGGTTACTGGGAGAGGGATCGATCTGGCAAGGTCATTTTTCATGTTGGTTCTTGGGAGGCTGAGTACAACAGGGAGTTGAAGAGAGCCAAGGAAGAAAACCCTGGTCCAATTGAGACTGTTGAGAAAAAAACTGATGAGAAGAAGGAGAAACCAGCTGAAGAGCAGGCCAGGAAGTATCAGTTGGATGTTCTGGAACAGGCAAAGAAGAAGAATACAATAGCTTTTCTTGAAACAGGAGCAGGAAAAACTCTCATAGCTGTTCTCCTTATCAAGAGTGTTTGCAACAATCTTCTTAGGGAAAATAAGAAAATGCTAGCAATATTTTTGGTACCCAAGGTTCCACTTGTATATCAGGTAACAGGACTTTTGTAAACTCTCTTTTACCGGTAAATTTACATTTCTTTTATCATGCCTTTACTAGCTATATGTTGATTCATTATTGTTGCTTCTTCACCTTCAAATTTTAGCAAGCTGAAGTTATTCGTGAGAGAACTGGTTACAAAGTGGGGCATTATTGCGGTGAGATGGGTCAAGATTTCTGGGATGCTCGTAGGTGGCAGCGTGAATTTGAATCAAAACAGGTACTTCCATGGATACATCTTATAATTTAAATATGGTTATTTGATATCCTCATCTGTGTAATTGTAAAATCTTGGGCTGACAAACACGAAAATGCTGGAACAAGTCTGAGCACAACCACTTTGTGCAAAAAATTCCAAATGTTAGGTCCATATCCAGTTCCCCCTCCGGCCCTCCCAAGGCCCCACATAGCTGGGACCAACATTGGTTAATGAACATTTTTATCTGATATCCTGATGTATAGTCTTCTGCAATTTGTTTTCTTCATTTTTCTTATCCTGCCAATGGAAGAAAACCTTTGAAGTCATAGCCTTTTAACCTTTTTGAGTGCAACTTGTTTTCGTTAATTGTTTGGTCATTTGTTATCACCATCATTTATTTGCTGATATTGTTCTGATCTTGTCCACCTGTCAACAACACTTAATTCATAAACATCTTCAATGTAGTCATTATAGAATTTTTTCCATTATTTATAAGCCTAAACCCAACATAGTGCACTCAGAACTTTAAGCTATATGGATAATTCCTCTATGTTAATCTGTACCAAGCCCATTTTGGGTGTGTAATATGGCATATCATAGTTGTGCTTTGTATGTTCAACATAAGGAACTTAGTTTCTGTTTTAAGAATTGTAAAAATTATTTTGATAATAGGCTCATCTCTGTTATTTGATTCTTTTGATCATCCATGCCTTATCCCAACATAGTTGTGCCTCATCTCTGTTAGTTTCTGTAAAAATTAATTAAGACCACGAGGCTTGCTCTAGTCAACTTGTAGTCAATTGTCTTAGGCATCTAATATTCTATCCTGTTCAGGTCATCAGAGGTGCCTCATGAATTACTAAGTTCTTATTTGATCTTTATTCCTGATAAGATCCCATCTTTGTCACCTATATGACATGCCTCTCATCCCATACACTTAGTGGTGGGGAAAAAATAATCAGTACTCTGAGGATGTGAATATGAGGAAAATAATCAATACACTTATATATACTTTACTTGTTTCAAAAAAGAAAAAGTGAATATGAGAAAATAACCGATCTCCTAAAGCCTGGTTTGTAGGCTGACCCATATTGGAACTGTGATGGATCATCGGTCCACCTAGATGGGCTAATGATAGGTTGAAAACACTACAAACAACCTGTCGAACAAGTCTTTACTTTATAGTGGCCCAATCAGGTGAGTATTTGTGGCTGCTACTAGGAGTGCTCCCGTGTCAATCCAAAACCAAAAATGTCCATTGGCAAGACATGCTTTTGAATCTTTTTTTGATAATAAAAAGAAGGGAAAATTCCACTTTAGTACCCTAAACTTTGGGGGTAGTGTCAAGTTAGTACCCACACTTTCAAATGGTCATTGCAGTACCCAAACTTTCAAAAAGTGTCAAGTTGGTCCCTGCCGTTAACCGACTGTCAGTTATCTGATCACATGATGACATGTGCAACTTAAAATTTTTAAAAATGTCAAAACTACCCTTCAAAAGAAGACACTGTTCATTGTCATCTACCTTGAGGCTGAACTGGTTGAGGTGTAAAACCACTGCCATTTTTTGTTTTTTTAATTAATGTTGGAGGTGTAAAATGTTGGAAGTTCTCCCTTCAAGCGAAACTCGGGAAGAAGAAAAACCTATTGAATTGTAGGCGATCCAAGACTAGGCCATGGACCAAAATCCGAGTTCATCTAATCCTCAGGCACAGGATGGGAGATTAGAGATCGAACCTGGCTTTCTACCCTACCGAAGCAAAGGAACATGATGATGAGCGAGATAGAGGCTTGGATTTTCTTTCTTAATACTTCTCAGTCAAGTGATCTTCAACTTGAAATGAATTTAATGAAATGGTTGGTTGTTCAATTCGGAATTCTCTTTATTTGACAATATAAATGATTTGGTTAAAAAAAGAAAATAGAAATGATTTAATAAAATAAAATAATATGTTGGGTTGCATGAACGAATCGTCATCTCTGTGCATAAACTAGGCCTGTGATAAATAAGACAAGAGCACTTGTCTAAAGAAAAAGGAGAAAGAAGACAAGAGGCAAGCTTTAACTTTACAGCTACATTCCGTGTGAGGGGAACCACGCAGAGGGATAAACTAATGCCATTTGGATTCTTTTGCTTGGACGTGACCAAACTGGCCATCCAATTGTTATCGTGTGGCAGTTAATGAATGAGTGATGCACTAATAATAATACGATATTAAGCTCCCGCCAATCATCTTGGGCCGCTCAACCCTCTCGTGTTTATGCTGGTCCCTCCCTTGTTTTTGTCCACATTTCCATCTTTTTTCGGTTTTTTAGAAAACAAAGAGATAGGGAGAGAATAAATTTTTCTCTCCCATCAGCTCAAGTTTATGTACTGACAATGGCAATTTGTCTGGTCTTGAGTGTACATATGCATCATGGTTTCTCATTTTCATGCATAGATAACAAGGTATATTTCTGGGTTTTGTTTTTTTTTTTCTCTATTTTCTAACATTTGGATTTGGTAGTGGGGGTGGAGGAATTTCTTGTTCTTAATATTTTTCAGGTGATCAAGGAGCTTAATATTTCAAAGTGAGTAGTGAGAATAGAATATAGCTCCCCTAAGTGATGAAATGGTTGGGATTTTCTCTTCAACACAGAGTGTTCTAAGAAGACCAACTTAGTGGGGTACTGGGGTTGCATCCGTTGCACATAATGCACCATACAATAATGATTAAATTGTACTTAAAGCCGATCTGTGTTGCTCCACTTTCTTTGTTCCCTTGCGCTTCACCTCTGACGCGGTTGATAATGATTATGAACACAGAACACCCTCATCCAACAGTGTTCCACTTGCGCTGGTTCTGTCGAGAAAGCCATCAAATGGCTTCTTGGTATTTGAGATAGTTGAAAATCACACCTACAGTAATTCAGATAATGCAAGAAAAGAAGAAAAGAGAGAAAGAGAAAGAAGTTTCAACAATAGGTTGTGGAAGAAGAAAAGAAGGGAAGAGAGAAAAGAAGAATTCGAACCTCTCTCTAGCCTCCTTTCATCACTTTTATTAATAATTCTAAGTCTGAGTACAATTACTTGGATGCCCTTAATGGGGCGGCCAGCACTAAAGAGATAATTAAAGAAAATAAAAGAAGGCCCATAACTAAGAAACATAACTTTTAAACACTACTTAAAAGAAACAAAGAACACTAAGGCCCATTTGGCCCATTCTCACTACACTCCACCTCAAGCTGAGCATAATGTCAATCATGCCCAGTTTGCTTACATAATGTTGAAGCCTTGCCTTTGGAACTCCCTTAGTTAGAAAATCTGCTAGCTACTCTTCTGATGCAATGAAAGGTAGGCACACCTCTCCTGAAGCCACTCTCTCCTGTATAGTGTCTGTCTATCTCARTGTGCTTAGTTCTATCATGCTGAACTGGGTTGTGAGCAATATTAATAGCAGCTTGGTTATCACAATACAACATCGGTGGCTCGTCACATGAAATACCCATCTCATTAAGGAGAGATCTAAGCCATAGCAACTCAAAAGCACCATGGGCCATAGTTCTATACTCTACCTCAGCTGAAGATCTTGCAACCACTGATTGCTTTTTTGCTTCTCTAGGAAACAATATTTCTGGCTACCATAGCATAATATCCTGATGTGGATCTCTTGTCATCCACATTTCCTGCCCAATCAGCATTTGTATATGCTTCTACCATCATGTGTCCATGTTTAGCAATTAATATACCCTTCCCAGGGGTTCCTTTAAGGTAGCATAACGCCCTTTTTGCTGCAGCGATATGTGTGTCTTTGGGAGCATGCATGAACTAGTTGATGGCGCTCACAGCATATGAAATGTCTGAACAAATCATACATAGATAAAGAAGTTTCCCTAGTAATCTTTGAAACACTCCCTTGTCAGCTAAAAGTTCTCCATCATTAATTGAGAGTTTATGATTCACATCAATAGGGGTAGAGGCGGGTTTAGCACCAAGTTTTCCAGTCTCATTAAGAAGGTTTAGCACATACTTCCGTTGAGAAGTAAAGATACCTTCCTTGGACCTAGCAACCTCAATGCCCAAAAAATACCCCAACTCCCCTAGATCTTTAATTTCAAATTCAGAACTGAGAAACTTATTAAGAGCACTAACTTCTTCTGTATCACTACTAGTAACCACAATATCATCTACATAAACTATAAGGAATGTCACCAGAGTGCATTTTCTTTTAACAAAGAGGGTATGATCTGATTGAGTATGAGTGTAGCCGAACTGAACAAGAGCAGCCCTAAATCTGTCAAACAAAGCACGCGGAGATTGTTTAGGCCATAAAGTGATTTCTTCAATTTACATGCTTTACCTTGCATTTCCTTGCCATATATACTAGGAGGAAGGGTCATATATACCTCTTTAGTGAGATCACCATTTAGGAATCATTCTTAACATCAAATTGATATAGAGTTCAATCATAGCTCACGGCTAAGGATAAAAGAACTCTCACCGAAGTCATCTTATCAACTGGAGAAAAGGTCTCAATGTAATCTATCCCATATACCTAGGTATATCTCTTGGCAACAAGCCAAGCTTCTCAATTGACCCATTTACACGATACTTGATAGTGAAAACCCACTTGCACCCAACTGGTTCCTTTCCAGCTAGCAAGTCAACAATATCCCAAGTATTGTTTTTATGAAGGGCTTCTATTTCAGTACTCATAGCATCCCTCCAATATGGTGTGGCTAAGGCTTCTGAAACAGACTTTGGGATGGATTGAGAGGAAATGGAGGTTAGAAAGGCATAGTAGGATGGGGACAACAAGCTGTAGGAAAGGTGTTTGGAAATACAATAGCTGTACATTTTCTCTTACCTTTTCTCAAAGCAATGAGTAGGTCAAGGTCTGGAAATGAGGGTGCTGGTGGAGGAGGTGATGGACATGGCCTCTCTTTAGTAATCGGAGCGCTTGAGTCTCAACTGGAGGTGTGGGATCAACCTATGTTTACCTTAGCCTTTTCCGTTGGTACCACCTTTGGAGAATAGGATG